AGCTCAGCTAGGCCCTTGCTCTGCATACCTCAGATTATGGCAGATGGCAAACCCTCTAAAACACTCCTCTATGTATACCACCCCACACTGCACACTCCATGTCCTACCTGTGCCCCAGCATCTCATTCCTCCTTGATCTAGGCCAATGAGTGAGCAGCAAGCTGGATTTCAGGAAAAGGGAATCTTAGGGTTTTTCTCTTTTGTAGTTCCCCAAAGATCCCTAGACTGGAATAATTTCCAGCAGTCTCTTACCTCAATGATTCTCAGGCCTATTATCATGGGTTACATAGAGGAGGGGCCAAGGCAGAAAGAATGAATTTTTTGAAGCCTTTGGCCTAGCCATTGGGGGCAGTGTGGAACAATGTTCTAGAGGGCAGAAGGAACTGCTGAAGTCCTTGGCTGAATGCTTGAACTATACAGTTGGCTGTTGGTAATAAGGCAGTGTGTAAAGGCCTGGTTTATTGCATGAGAACAATAAAGTATTATTTCCACATGTAGGGAGAAATACATCAAATTTTCTCTGGAAATGGAGCAGATGACAAGTTTCATTAAGGAAAATTAGGGAAAGGAAGGAGGGGATGAATGGAGAAGACTGGCAGGGAGGGAGACAGGATAACAGGATGGGCGAAGCTCACAGAAGGGTTAGGAGAGGGGCACTATGTCTCTAGACAGTTGTTTATTGTGATAGCTGTGCTGGCCAGCTGACTGGGAACAGGGACCTGAAATTTTATTTGAGGAATAGACCTGCATGGGACACACAATACAGGAAGGACGTGAGAGTTTGAGACTCTGGGAAGGGCGTTTCCCAGATGTTGAATTGATATCCTCCAGGAAGGTCCTGTTACTAAGCCACCTATGAAGCCGGTGACTAGTCTAGGCACTGGGACAAGGTGGGAGTGGGCTCCAGAGAACTTTTCTAGTGGTACAGGCCTAAAGGAAGCTTAAGACCTGTTTTTCAAATATTTTTCATCTGAGAGGTGGAGAATTACTGCCACTTTGTACCTTCCTGGAGCTGTATCCCCTTGTTCTCCTATCTCTACTCATCCACTTCCAGACTGAGCCAAGAACAACACCTGGGCCTGGAACTCCCATTTTCCCAAGGGCATCCCTAAAAGGAGCATATAAGCCTTTGGACTAGACCAAAGGACCCAGGTGTCTCTGGGCCAGCCTGTCACCCTGCCCCTCCCCCTTTCTTTTTTTTTTTTTTTTTTTTTTTTTTTTTTCTTTTTGCCTACTGGGGATGTAGGAAAGGATATACAGTCTGGAAGGACTCTAGACCCAGAAACCAAGTTGTTGTCCCAGCCTTCCCTAAGAGGGATGTGGCCCCCACTATGAAGCTGAGGCAGGAGGGGTGAGGCACAGCAATGACCACTTTTCTCTGTAGTAATCCACACTATCAAGCTAAACACAGACACAGAAAGCTATGTCCAAGCTCACGTGTAGACCTACATTTATGGTTATAGAAATGCAGGCACAGGTCTTGCTGAGTGAGGCAGAGGCATCCTTAGCACTGCTACATCACTAGACCCAGGCCAGTGGCCACCCCACACCTCACCCCATCTCTGGGAATAGCAATGCTTGGCAGTCACAGGGTCAGAGGCAGGATAGTGGGCTCCACAGCTTTCCAGCCCTGTTGCAACCTCAGCACTGTGGGACAGAGAACAGAAGCTCCCGCCTCCCAGTGCTGAACTGAGCGTCAGCTGGGTCAATAGGCACTGTCAGGAGCTCAGCTGGACGAGTGAATATGCCCCAGATGTCCCCAGTGCCTGCCTAGGGCTTCCAGTGTCTGCAGAGGGACCATCTGGCTGTTGGGAGAAAGGGAGATCCTGCACATTCCAAACCCGGGTCACCCTCCCCACCCCTGCCCTGGGAAACAGCTGGCCTTAGAAAGCCACTTGTTATTTCTGCACTCCTCTTCCCACTGGGAACTGGGCCTGAGCTTCCTGGGTGGGTGGGAGACCAGAAAAGCAGACTAGAGGCCCCTTAGGTAGAGTCCCGAGGCGCCGCTAATTTCTCTGAAATCCTGTGTGTTTTAGAGCCAGAGACCTTGATGTATGCGCTGTGGGGCAGGAGGAACAGGCTATGTGCTTTGATCTCCCTGGTTGTGGGATATTCTTCCCTGGAACCCCTGCACAATTTTGTGACTTCTTCTCACTTTTCCTTAAGGAATCTACACTTGCTGGGGGCAGGGGTAGGGAAGTGAGAAGAATTGGGGCCAGAAAGACACTATTTCATCATCTCTGGACATTACCTATGTCCTGCATGGAGAAGAATGGAAGCGGAAGGGAGAAAGCACAAGGTTGGAAGGGAGAGAGAAGGCCTGAAGCGCCAGGGCCTATTAGGAGAGGAGGTGGTGAGGCTCTGTTACAAGGGAAATGTTGAAGGCAAATGGCTTCTTTTGTGGCCAGGCCTGGACCATGTGACCCTATAAAATAAGAGTGAAAACAGGATGGGAGAGCTGGAGCTTGCTTGAGTTGGCTATGTCCAGGGCCCATAAAGAAGACAGCTCCAGCTTGGCTGGGTTAGCCACTCCCTGTGAAGGGGATGGAGCCAAGAATGAGGATGGTATTGGGGGATGCAGATGAGCGTATGGATGGACAGAAAATTCCAGTAGCACAGCTGACAAAATTGGGGATGGGACTCAGCCTGCCCACCTTACCCGTCTTTGCCTGAGCTTCAGACTGGTTCCTTTGCCCTGGAGTCTCCTCCACTCCATTCCAGGATTCCAGGGACACAACAGACAGGTCAGGGCCTCATGGAGTTCCTGGGATGTGAGCCTGAAGGGGGGGGGATCATTAAGGAGGCAGAGCCCCCTCCCATTTGGCCGCAGGCACCAACAGCCTTGCTTTGACAGGGTTCAGTGAGTGTCCCCAAGCACCTCTACCACCTGACCTGCCATGCTGGCCTCCTTCTCAGCCAGCAAAGCACTGAGGGGGAAGGGGCTGTCCAATCCCATTAGGCAGAAGGCCCCTGAGGGTGGAGGCCTGACGTGGACCCTGCTGTTGATGCTGCTGAGGCAGCCCATGCTCCCCTCCACCCCCATCCTGGGGCTCCTCTGGGAAGGTCAGAGAGGGTTTTGACCAGTGGCTGCTAAGCCCTTCCCCAGGGGGTGGACCAGGAGCATCTCAGAGACTCTCTAGGATGTTCAAAGGATGCCTGGTGTGACAGCCCCTAGCAGCCCCCCCTCCCCGTTTCTACTCTCTTATTTTATCACATCAGGGCTTAGATCCCTTCTGTTCTCACCCTTTAATGTCCCTTCCTCTTTCTGTCTTCCACATCAACATTACCTGCTCTCCCTTGTTCTTATTTTATAGGGAAATCTAATGGAAACCAACTGCTTTTCCTGCCTGTTATAGAGACGGCTTCCCCATAGGCTAGCACTTAGATGATGAGGCCAGGAGGCACCAGGGACCTGTAGCACTGCCTAGCAAGCTCCTGGGATGACCCACAGGAGCAGCAGCTACTTGGAACTTGCAGAACACTGTCCCCCATCCTGCCTGCCAACCACCAGAGAGTATAATGACATTTGGAGTCTTCATTTAAGAAAAAAAAAAATTTCTCTTTGATTCCTTACTAAAGCCATACACAGTGTTGCTGCACATTTGTAATCCTAGCACTTGGAAGGCTAAATCAGGAAGATGAAAATTCCAGACTAGCCTGGGCTAGATGGTGAGATTCCCCTCTCAAATACAAAGGAAATGACACTGTGATTAAGAGCACTGGCTGTCCTTCCAGATACAGACTCAATTCCCAGCACCCCACGGCAACTCAAAACCATGTGTAGCTACAGTTCCAGGGGTATCTGACGCCCTCCTCTGGCCTCCTTGGTCACCAGGCACACCCATGGTGCACATATGTATTTGCAGACAAACACTCATAAACAAAAAATAATAAAATCAAATTAAAAACACCAAACATAGGAGGTGAGGATGCAGCCCAGTTGGTAAAAGTGCTTGCCTAACAAGCACAAAGCCCTTGTCCGGATTCCAAGAACAGCCTAAATTGGGTAGAGTGGCCCATTCTTGTAATCAAGGTACTAAGGAAGTAACAATCAGAGGTCCAAGATCATCACTGCCTACATAGAAGTTTGAGGTCATCCTGAGCTACCTGAGACTCTGTCTCAAACAAAATAAAGTAACACTAATTCCAACCAACCAACCAACACACACACACACACACACACACACACACAGAGAGAGAGAGAGAGAGAGAGAGAGAGAGAGAGAGGAGAGAGAGAGAGAACCAGCAGAAACAATAATTCACTGCCTAAACACAAACTCTTGAGGGCACCAGCTTCCCATCTTAGGCCACCTCCCTGCCAGGTGCCAGGAACTGGTGTAGCCTTCACCAGCAGGTCTCACTTGGGGCGGGGCAGTATGACTGCTGGTCCTTCCACCTCAGCTATTTTAAAGAATGTATTGCCATGACTGTTAGAGGGTAATCTTTAGGGTGTGAGTGTAGCTCAGTGGTAGAGCATTGCCTTAGTGTGCAGTGTGTGAGACCCTGGGTCCCCAGCACTACCAAGGGATGGGGGAGAAAACAAATAGCCACCCTTTGAAACCCATATTATCATTCATGGGGAAGAGAACTCTTCATTTTACCAAGAGCAACACAGGCTCAGAGAAGCAAAGGACCTTAAGGACACACAGCAGTGCCCAGCTGGAGCACAGTGATCCTTTCTTCTGTTTCATTCTCCACCTCTTAGGTGGAGGAACACCACAGGACAGGTGTCAGAGACAGCCCTCCCTCCGACCTCAGGAAACACTGCAAGGCCCACCTTCCCATGCACCTCTCCATCCAGCTGGCTGCCACCCTCCTCTAATGCTTGGTGCTTAGACTTACTTCACTGAGCCCACAGTGCACTGCTTCCTCAGTGAAGGCCCTCCCTGCCCGCATGTGCGGCCTGAGAGGGCACTCTTATAAAGGCTGACACTAAAGAGTGGACCCCACAGAAGCTCCATTTTCTTGTTCCCGTCCTAGGGCCCTCTGAAGCTGCAGGTGAAGAGGTAGAGGGCACCCCTCCAAGGGCAGGCTTGGGGCCTGTGAACTCCCAGTCAGCAGCAAGTGGGAAGATAGTCATGCCATTTGGAATTTTTATTTTTCCACTGCACGAGAAGAGGAAATTCCAACTATGGAATCCAGAGAATTCTACAGGAACAGAACAAAATTTGGCTGGGCCCTGGGCCCAGAGAAGGTCTGGAGCTGCTTGAGCTACTGTTCAGTGCCAGCTCCATCCTTGGCACTTCGCCCCTCACACGGCATTGCTCCGTTCCCAGAGCCCACAGTGGCAGCTGTGTGATGCTGTGGCTGCAGCTGCTGCCCTGCCTAAGAAGGGATGTGGGCTCTGTTCTGAGTGGCCAGGGGTACCAATCAGAGAATTTTAGAATTCACTCAGTCCATCCCCATTTTACAGATGATGAGATGAAACCCAGAAGGAGCAGCTTCTGGGACGATAAAGGTGGGGATAGGAACAGACCTCCTGTGTCCCCAGATCTGAGCATCCGAGATCTGGTATCTGGAGGGGCTGGGAACCCAAGGGTGTCTATGTGTGCCAGGAGGCATCTGTGGCAAACGAGCCAGGGTTTCTGTGTCCTTCTGTGAGTGTTCTTGTGTGAAAGAACAGGGGGCTGTACCCAGAGAGGGTTGGGCTAATCCTATCAGCGTGGGAAACTTTCCAGGCAGAAGAGGGACAGAGGGAAGAATGGGAACTTGGCAGGCAATAAAGAGGGAGAGTCAGAGCTTGGGCTGGACATGGATGAGAAAGCTCTGGGGCTAGGCTCTGGGGCAGTGGGGAAAAGCCCAAGATGGAGTGGAGGTATCTGGAAGTTGCAACACTTCCTTAGCCCTCATGTGAAACCAGCCCTCTGGCCATTCCAGAGGCAACCCCAGGAGAAGTAGTCACATGATGTGGCACTTCTCAGCTGATTGCTTGAGGTCCCCTAGTGTAGTTTGGGCCTTGTCCTTGAGTGAGCTGAGGTCCAAGCCAGGGAGGCTGGCCAGCTGTCCCAGCACAGAGGCCTTATCCTCTTCTTCCTCTGTGTCCTCCTCGATCATCTTGGCTAACTCCCGAGGCAGCTCCACATCTCCACCTGCCAGCTGGATCTGGCTTTCATCAGTCTCGTTCTGAAGGGAAGAGAGATGAGTCAAGGGTGGAGGTTTAGGAGGACCTAGCAGGCTGGATTCGTGGAGGCCATACTCCAGTAAGGTCAGCATCTGCCCCCACATCTGAGTCAAGCCTTCCATGGGTGGATGTGGAGACTTTTCACTTTCAAACCTTGCTGCTTTTGCACTGCTTTACTCACCTGAGATACTGAAGGACTGAATAGCAGAGAGACTAAACCAAAAGGAAAACGTCACTCTGTTATGGCCAGCTGAGTCATGTGTTGACTGTGGCTAACTACACTGAATGGTACAACAAAAATACTGATGGGTACCTTATATCAATACCTGGTCTACGGCTGACAGCAGCCTAGGTGCTTTTAACTTATTTTTAGATTTATTTTATTATTTGTTTGTGTGTGTGTGTGTGTGTGTGTGTGTGTGTGTGTGTGTGTGTGTGTGTGTGTATGGGGACCCATGGAGGCCTGAAGAGGGCATCAGACCCCTGAAGCTGGAGTTACAGTTGGGAGCTTCTGATGTGCACACTGGGAACTAAACTCCAGTCTTCTGCAAGAGCAACAAGTGGTTTTAACCACTGAGCCATCTTTCTAGCACCAAGAATGCTTTTACTTTTTGTGGCTAAAAAACTAGGAAAATTCCAGCAATGGTGGTGCACACCTTTAATCCCAGCAGGCAGATCTCTCAGTTTGAGGCCAGTCTGGTCTACAGAGCTACAAAGCAAGTTCCAGAACAGCCAGGGCTATACAAAGAAAACATGTCTCAAAACAAAACAAACAAAAATAAACAAAACTAGGAAAAGCCAGGAGTGATAACAAATGCCTTTAATTCCAGCATTTGGGAGACAGAAGCCAGTGAATCTCTAAGAGTTCAAAGCCAGCCTGATCTACCATCAAAAGTTCCAGGCCAGCCAGGGCTACATAATGAGACATGTCTAGAAGCAAATGAACAAAAACTAGGGCAAAAAAATGACAAGTGGCCCACACTGTGATCTCAGCACTCAGGAGTGGACCTGTCATCTCGACTTTACTTGCCAAATTAAAAAAAAAAAAATGGAGACTCAAAGATTTTAAAAAACTGCCTAAGATCATACAACTAGGAAGGGAAATGGTAAGCCAGATTCACACCTGTCACTTATTTCAATTCCTGTACTCCCTTTGCACCTACTGAGAGCCACCATACTACCCTAGGCCTCTGGGAGATGTTTGGGGTCTACTCCTGTGTCCTACACAGTTGCAAGTCTTACCTTGGCTGCTAGACTCAAAATTCCCTCATGGCAGAGTAATGTCTCTTACATGTTTAGTGAAAGCATTTGAGCCATGACCCCATTGCTACCTGGACTTGCAAAAATGTAGACTTTTTGAACCAGGTTTGCCTTTGAGAGACTTATGGGAAGTCAGTGGCAGCCAGGGGCTCAGTAAACACTTGTTGGATTGGCAAATGTGATACAACATATTTGATCTCTGAACTCAAGTAGAAAATCAAGGCCAAGGCTATGGCACCCAGTCCTTGGAGTCTAGAACAACAGCTCTGGGCAAACAAAGGTGACATTCTGGGAAGTGGCTTGTCCCATGTAGGAGTGGCACATTTGTATCTAGTGCTATAGCATCTTGGGGACAAAGACAGGCTAAGGGGGTATCTTGTTCTTTGTATGTAAACCCCTATATCTTGGAAAGTAGCCTGAGGGCTGGAGCTGAGCTTTCACCCAGTGGCCGTATGACCTTAGGAGTATCTTATTGTTGTCCCTGAGCTCAGTTTCTTCTTTCACACATGCAGTGACAATTACCTAGCAGCTTTATTGAGACAGTCAGGTGAGAACATGAGGGTTAAGTACCTGGTGCACAGGAAGGAAGAATCACGTTCTCTCCTTCTGCCAGCTCTCTGAATGTATTCAACAGCCACATAAGAGCTCACCCCCTTACATAGTGTCTTTCTGATTCTGCTGTGTCTTCATGGGCCAGCATTGACCCAGGTTGGAGAGATGGAAGTGAAGGAAAGAGAACTAACTACAAACACAAACCGGTAAGCTTCCAAAGGCCTGGGGTCTGTCTCAGCTCTGAATATGTAAATGAATGAAGGAGTGAGTGAATGAATGGATAAGGAAGGAAAAATGGGCAAGAGCTGAGGGTCCCTGAGGAAGTCCAGCTCCCAGTGCTCAGGGTCCCAGGAGCTCCTTACACTTTAGGTCCTGGATACCTTGGGCAGACGGTATTTGTCTCTGAAGTGACTCCTCAGTGTGGCCCGTTCTGCCTTCCTCTGTGTGAACTGTGCATCTCGCTCCATCCTGCAGGCGAAAAGGACATCAGTTGGGAAGTTGTCTCAGGGGTTGAAAGAAGGTGTGGGCTATCTGCAAAGGAAGGACTAAAAAGGTCTGGAAGACTTGGGGAGGAGCTGCATGGGTTCTCCAAGCTCCAGCTGGCCTGTGCCCAGTCACCTCAGACCCATCAAAGTGTCCTTCCTCTGTGTTCTCTACTCCTGCCAAGGGATGGAGAGGACTGGATGACAGTCTGACTGACTCTCTCTCTCTCTCTGAAGGTCCTAACACATATGTCCTTTGCAATCACTGACTGGGGTCTGTCGTTCCTTCTCTGATTAGCTGTGTGGAGCAGGCAGTGAAGGTATGTGTGCAAGGGTGTGTGTGTGGGGGTGGGGAGTGCTCTGGACTTGACCCATGGTTCTATTGCCACTTTTGATATGTTCTTCAGTAAATCATTTAAAACCGGGATTAAATAAAATAACAACAGTTAGCATTTCATGAAGATTTGCCATGTCCCAGATGCTGTAGTAAAGCCTGAAATCATTCAGCTTTTAGGGAAATATAAAGCATGCATTGTGACTACCATTCCCATTTTCCAGAAGGAGAAAGGAGTCACGAAAATGCTAAGTGACTTTCTTAAAGTTACTCAGCTAATAAGTAAAACAAGGCTCTGAGCGAAGCAACCCTCATCTCAAAGATCAGACTCTAGCTCATTCTGTCTCTATTCTGCACAGAGTAGGCTCAGTATTTACCAATAATCCCACTGTGGACATGTCCCTGTGACTCTGCGCCCTGCCTAATGAAAAGCACAGTTGGAAGACAAGCGGTTAAAACCAGATCGGATTAAGAGATTACCTATTTCATCAGAGCTGCACGTGCACCACCTCCACCCCACAACCACCCCACCCCAGCCCCGCACTCATCACCCTTCCCCCAACTCCCCTGGGGTAGAGAATGAAGCTGGAACAGGGGTCTGGGTTTCAAATGGGGTGGTTGTGAAAGTAGCCCACAGGGCACCTCCCGTCCTCTTACCATGTTTAGGAGATGTAAAGGGGAGCTGACCCAGGGGTGGGCATAGCAAGGGTAATGTCGGTCGGTATGTGGGTCGGTATGTGGGTCACAGGAGCGAAGAAAGAATTCCACTTACTTCTCCTCCACCAGTTGCTTCTGATACTCCTCATACTCTTCTCGGCTCATGCCCTGTGCTTCAGCTGCAGACTTGTCTCCGTCCCCCTTGTCCTCGCCGCCCCCAAGGCTCCCGGTGAGGTTCTTCAGCTGGCCGCCCACCATGGTCTTCACCATGAACGCCATGGTCTTCTCTGGCCACTGTACCAGGCGCCTGTTCGTCGGCGCCTACTTCAGCACTAAGTCCCGGGGACAGCTCCGGCTGCAAGCTTGCGCCTTATGCTTTGCTCGCTGCCCCTACTTTCCCAACCCCTCCTCATGGGGGTGGGGGCATGCACGGGGCTGAGAAGCCTGGACCACGTGCCTGCTCCTCACTCCCGCCTTTCCCATGTGCCTCCTTTAGCGCCAGCCAAGCTCTGCTGGCTACTGCTGACAGCTGATTTTAAGGCTTGCGGTTGTGGGGTCGCTGCCCTGGGAGAAGGGAATGCACTGATGTGTGCCTTGATCCCTGTGCAATGTCCTCTACTCCTAGGTCATCGAGAACCAGGACTTCAGCTAGGAGCCCCCGGTAGCATCAAGAACCAAACACCCCCAGCCTTGGGTCCCATTGCATCCTCTTTCTACCCCACCTCCAATCTGTTGACCCTACCAGCTGCCAAAAAGCACTCAAGGCTGGGAAGTGGGGAGACCTCAAGAGCATGAGCAGGAATCTCAGTTATATGGTCCGGTGAGTTTGTGCTCAGTTCCTCTGTCACGTGTCTGCCCTGCTGTCCCTGGAGCCTCAGGGAGTAGGGAAAGGGAGTGTTGTTTGGAGGCATTGAAAAGATGAGCCAGAAAGAACCCAGGGACCTCTCCTTGTCCTTGGTGAGTTTAGGAACAGAATTTTGCCAGTTGTCTCCCTTTGCTTCAGTAGTCTACAAGAAAAGGCTGTGCGGGTACCTGACCCTTGGCCTTTTTGCCTGCTTGGACCCTATTCCCTCTACCTATCTAGAAAAGGTGGAAGTTATCAGAGATTGTGTGAGTTTGTAAGGTAAATGAGGGGATCGGCATGGGGAGAGGAACATCACCTTTAATATGACGAGCTTGCCAAAAGCTAAGATGTGGGCACTTAGGAAGGATACTGGCCAAATCCTCCATCTCCCATTTGTCTCCTGATAAGACATGGCTTTGAGCTGGGTCAAGCTTGCATGCTGTAGGGGACAGGCTGTCTCCTCAGAGCCCCTAGTGTCCTAGGGATGGGCAATGCAGGCTCTAGAGGAGGGCTTCCTGTGGACAGGTACTCCTGAAGCCTATTGTCCAGCTCCTGCCTGCTGCCAGAGAGAAAAGATTATTTGAGTCTCCCTTCTGAAACCAAGACTAACACTTGTCCCTCAATACTCAATGTTCCACAGCCTCCCATATTCTTTTTGGACCTTCTGTGTCCCTTGACATGCCACGTACGTTTACATTTCACCCTGGCATTTGAAGTTTTTCTGGGTTTCTTAGTGCCAAAGCTGCACTCCTATACACACATTTTCTTCTTTGTTTTTTAGACAAGATTTTACTTTGTAGCCCAGGCTGGTCCAGATTTCAGCATCCCTTTGCCCCAGCCTTCCAGGTGCTGAGATTAAAGGCATTCATCTCCAATCCAGAATACCCAATCTTGGAAACTGGTCTTGCCCCTTACTTCAATAGTATTTAGTTGCTGCTTTTTTCTTTCCCCTAAAGATGCTTTTTTCATGCCTCCATGCTTTTTCTGATGCTCTTCCCTCTGCATCAGTGACTTTACCTATTTTGTCAGGCTGAAAACTCTTAGTCACTTTGATGACCCAAATCAAATATCCTTTCCAAGTCAATTCCCTGATCCCCATTCACCCCAACCCCACCCCAAAGATGATTCAGTTGCTTTTTCCCAATTCTCCAAGCTTCCAGCCATCATAGTACTGGCAGCATAAGGTCTGGCTATCAGTTAGTTTTCAGGTGCTCACTCCAGAGTGAGCTTTGTAGGGCAGGACCAGATGGGACTGGTGCCTGAGTGGGTGTCTGTGCTTGGTAAGTGAGGTATCCCTGGTCTATATTCTGCTCCCCACCCTCAGGTGAATTGGGTAGCTCCCATCTGAGCTTTGGTGTCCCCTATTTCAAGTTCAATGGTTGTAGACCAGAACCAAGATATATATATGGTATGGGAAATCCTGCCCGTGGGAAGACCCACCTGAAGTTCATGTAGCAGAAGAAGCCTACAGTCTGTATGAGAAGGAAGAACAGGAAGATGCTCGTGTGAAGACATGCAGAAGTTCCTGAGAGCCAGCCAGATGGGCGGGGAGCCTTGGCTGTCATTTTCTGAAAAGGAAAAGTATGAGGCCCTGCTTCAGCATCTAATGCGGGGGAGGGGGGGCTGGAATCTCTGCCTTGCCCATGGTCCCTATTTATCTCCCTCAGGCTTGGGCTATCCTGGGGCTGTCATCTAGAGAACAAGGAAAAAAAGACAAATGTCCAAAGCTGCCTCCTGCTCCAATCTTGCATGGTTCCATCTGTGGGAATAGCTCAGACGTTTTAGGTCCTGGAATCATCAATAGACCAAAGGCAAAAGAGATGAGAGAGGAGGAGCACATGGTGACTCGAGGGCAAGGGACAGAACAAGGAAGAACAGAGACCCAGGGACAATCACCACTGAATCTGAGTGGTCCCTGGCATAGTCTGTCCACTTCCCTTCTGGTCATCCAGGGCCTTTGGGTAGTATTGAGTCTGTGGGCCTTCCTCCTGAGCAAGAGATTGCAAAGATAGCCAGGCATATGCACTGGCTATCCCAGTACTTGGGAGGTAGAGGCAGGCAGATCTCTGTGAGTTTGAGGTCAGCCTGGTCTACAGAGAGTTCCAGGGCCACACAGAGAAACCCTGTCTCAAAAGAACCAGAAAGAGAGAAAGAGAGAGAGAGAGAGCACAAAGATGAGGTCTGTGCCTCTTCATACCCATGTGCAGGCAAATATAGATACAGATGTGTCTGTTAAGAGTACTGGACAGATGCTCTGAAGCTGTAGAAGTGTTAGGAGAAGGTGGCAGTGACCAGACCTCAAGGATGATCTTACCATCAGACCCCGGAGGTCCTTCTGCAGGAGGCTGAGGATCTGGTCCAGCTCAAAAAAGTGATGCTTAGTGCCCACAGGCAGGTAGAAAACATGGGCTCCTGAAGCCATTTGGGCAGCTGCTTTCCTGGTGGTGTGGTGGGACATGGAAATCAAGAAAAATGATCCACTACACTTTTTGGTTGTACCCAAATTACTTAATCTTTTCCCATAATACTCCACAGCCAGCACATGGTAAAGAATAAATATCTAAAAAACATCTCCCTAGAACCTGAGACAATTTTAGTCAATTGGCCAGGCTCCCTTTTCATCTGTAGCCCAGGGGAACTAACTCCTCTTGGACTCTTGCCCTCTGCCACCTCCAGGCATCTAGCTGGAGGGTTTACAGCCATAGGACCAACAATGTGCAAGAGATCTCCCCACCCCTAGAACATTCCACAGGCAAGGATGAACCAGAGTGAGATTCTGGGAGACTGGAAGCAAAATGAGCTTATATCACTTCCTCCAAAGGGCCTCATCTTGGTTATGCTTCCTCCAAGAACCTTTATCAAAATAAATGCCCTCAGGGACTGAGGAGATGGTTCAGTGGACAAGAGTGTTTGCTTTGCAAGCACTGGGCCTGAGTTCACATTCCCAGCACACAGGTAAAAAGCCAGGTGTGGTTGTGGGTGCCTATAGCCCAGCACTGGAGGCAGGAATCTGGCAGAGGTAAGATGATAGAGCAGCCCTTCTTCCCTCTCAGTCCACCTCCTCACCCTCTCCCTTACCTAGTCTCTTGCAGGGTCTGGAGCAGAGTCCGCTGTCCATAGAGCAGGGTGCTGACCTGGGTAGTGTTCTACAGAAGGGCTGGCTTTTATCTAGTGCCCCTCTCCGCAGAGTCCAACTTCCCCAGGAATCCTTCATTCTTCCAGAAGCCTTACTAAATAGCCACGGGTCTCCTCTGTTTGGGCACACTAAATCTCCCATAGAACTTACCCATCTGGGCTTCTAGAGGACCCTCCTTCCACACCAAATGTGTGCTGTTTCTCCCCAAAGGGCCCTTTATGCTTTCCATAAATCCTTCTCCTTTTAAAAAGTGTCCCTGCCCCCTCACTGGGGCAGAAGCCCAACTCAGCCCTCTCTGTGTCTTTCTCCTAGGCTGAGATCCAAACTGAGGGCCAGAACTGGTTAAAATCCAGTACATGGGTCCAAGTCTGGCAGAGTGACCTGGAGACACTTCTGAGGGGTAGAATCGTGCAAGTGAGGTTCAGGACATGAAGGCAGGATCAGAGATTCCAAGAGAGTGGGTCTCTTCCCTCTGTATCACTCCAACAGCCTTGCCTAAACTGTTCTGGACTGAGGACAAAAGATTAAAGCCTTGGGCTGGCAGAGCCCAGTAAAACCTCCATGAACCGCTGGCTCCCTCTGCCCACTAGCCAGCACTTTGGCTGGGTTTACCTTTCACTCCCCAAGTCAGAGCATGCCCTAGGGAATGACACCTAGAGGAGGAGCTAGGGAGGCAGCAGAGATGAAAAGAAGCTTCTGGTGCAACTGAGCATTTAAGCAAGTCTTATGCAAATCACATGTGAAGCCATATGCAAATTAGTGCCTAGTCTATTTCTGCCATTTGTCTATAGACTAGATTCCAAATACCTGGCATCTATTCTCTGAAGCCCAGCCCTGTGGGTGCAGGACAATTGCTATGTGTTAATGTCCTCTTACATACTGCCCTTTTGCATCCTGTGGCCTGCCCTCCTTTCCCTCCAAGCTTTGACAAAGCTAGCTCTAGATTGTCACTATTCTTTCCAGCTGTGGGTAGAAAATAGGGTACCCCAGGGCCACTCACCCAGCCTCCCTCAGGCCTGACTTGAACTGTAGAGCCCAGCTGCTGTTTCCACTGCCTCTTGGCCTGGTCCAACTGCCTGGAGAGAGCCTGGAGGGCCTGCAGTATCTGGCTTTGTCTGACCAGTGTATCCTCCAGGTCAAAGAACCTTCCACCTGGGGATTGGGGCAGAGTCAGGATGGAAAGACCACTGGGGTGAGGCAGCAGATCTTGCTTGGGAGTGGCAAAGGAGGAAGTATAGATTCTGCTCCAAGACCCTCCGTTAGCTGGGCGCTGGTGGCACATGCCTTTAGTCCCAGCACTCAGGAAGCAGAGGCAGGCGGATCTCTGGGAGTTTGAGGCCAGCCTGGTCTACAGAGTGAGTTCCAGGACAGGGTCCAAAGCAATACAGAGAAACCCTGTTTCTAGAAACAACAACAAAAAAAGACCCTCCCCTGGAATAGGTCTGGAGGCTGGCAAGCAGGGTGAGCAACAGAAAATGCTTGCCAGGAAAACATGACAATGTAAGTTTGATCCACAGATTCCCCAGAACCCATGTAAAAGTGGAAGGAGAGAATGGATTCCACAAAGTTGTCCTCTTACTGCCACACAAATGCTCTGGTGTACACACACACACACACACACACACACACACACACACACACACGATTGCACATGCTCACAAACACAAGTTAAAAAAGAAAATGTGTCTTGGGGGTGCAGGTCATAGGGCAGACTATTTAGCCTAAGTTCTGCTTAGATACAGACTCCTCAGGCCTCTACTTCTCCACTGGTTACTGGACTTTGGGTCCTACGGTTCCTGTGGCCCTCCAGTATGGTATGGCCCCACCTGCCTATTTCCTGGGTCCTTACCTTCTTCTTGGGCTTTGGAGTCCAGCAGTTGAATGCTGTCCTTGCTGGTGTTCAAGGCCAGCCTTGCCTGCAGCCCTTCCAGCTTCCTGGCCAGGCGAAATTGCTCCTTCTCCATGAATGTCTGGGGGGGCACCTGGAAGAGAAAGATAGAAAGTCAAACCTAAATGCATGGGAGTCCTGGGAGGGGCGGCCTTCCCCACAACAGCCTCAAGACCCCTGGGAGCCCAGTCTTCCTCCC